CTCTTAATAAATAAATCGGTAAATGATGATATACATGTAGCATAATCAGTTAAAGACGATTCTACATGAATTGACATTTGTGTACTGTTGGAATGCGGAAGCGTAATTAACCAGAAATCAAAATTTTCTTTAATTCAATAAATGAAATCGTCTAAATATTCACGCATATATTATAACAAAATTAAATGATTTGAATCTTTTACTTAAATTCGATGATCAACCTTTGAATTAACTCTGATCCGTGAACTTTCGGCTCCTTTAACTGCAATAATCTTGGTGCTTCAAACATTCAAGCCTTCTATGGTATTCTCCAACGTAAAGACTATGCTGACGTGTGGGCGCCTTCTTTTAATTAATCCAGAAAATAATTCTTGAATTTGGATAATTGTAAAGCAGCAAAATAAATATTTCCTCTCTCTCACTTTCCCTTTCTAAATTAGAATTCTATGGAATTATGAATTATGAGTATTGTAGTATTTTTCAGTCCATCTAATCTCCATTTATAAAGAAAAAGATAATACAATTTAAGTACAATTATAATTCCCCATTCAAAGAAGAATTCTGATTAAAATCCAAGTAGGAGTTTTAATTAAAGTCCAATTACAATTAGTATATATTTAATTGCACGTGTGGTCCTAGAACTTTAATTACAATTACAATTAAGTTTACAACTTTCATAGTAGTTACAACCAAATACAAAACTTTATTGTAATTACAATTAAGTTCAAAACTATTATAATTGTCGTAATTAAGTTCCAATATTTTATAGAGTTACCACAGGAACCTGATCGGACATATATTATCCAAGCTCCTTTCCTCTAACCTGTCGTATATGTATTTTATAGAATCTGTGACTTTTTAACCATACATTTTATCAACAATTACAAAAATTTGATTTTAATCTACAACAAATAGGGGTTAGCACTAAATTTAAGAATGATGCTATTGCATATGCATCTTTACTATAGTTACAAGAAATTTGCCTCATGTACAGGGCCTATGTTCACAAGGCCGGTACAAGGCACTCACATGCCCTTGCATTGGGTTGAGGGGTGGGTGATTATTTAAAAAAAAAAATTCTCCCACCCCCATGGATTGTGAATATTATGTACAGTGCCTGTACAGCAAGCAAAACTCTAGTTACAAAGCCAAATTGAAGCTGGTGAGCAAAATAATATACTTCGAAGGATAAAGATTCTCTTTTGACTAATATAAATATGCTTTACTATTGCTTTCCCCATTATAACTTTGGCCTAACAATTTATACATACTCAACCGACATCTTGAAACTAATTTATCAAAAAGGCTAGTTGTGATGGAAACGTACTCAATTCCAATAAAAATGTTCTATATTCTACATATCTCGGGTAATTCACATAATGTAAAATAACAGTTTTTTACTTCTTTACTGAGACACCTCAAGATAGATAACTAAAATTGGAAAGAATATGACTCCAACATATTCTACACCAACATTGATTCTTTCTTACCCCTCATGAGGTGGCTGAGTTGGTGGAGTAGGTGATCGCGGAGACCTTTGATCACGAGTTCGATTCTCCTTACTAACACTTTCTCGATCAAGCCTATCACGCAGAACTTGTCTAGTGCAATTTACCTGGCTGGCGTGGTTTGCAGGCAATTGCGTTAGCTCGAGAGTTTGCCCATTACGCACCCGAAGGGTAGCGGCTGCGGACTCTCCGTCATGAAAAAAAACATTGATTCATTCTGGTTAGAGAGTTTGCAATATCTTTAAGATACTCATGTAATGTTAATTTGAGATTCGCTAGAGTTTATTCTAATTTGATTTCGAATATTTAATATCCCATCATTAAATTTCTTAGTTCTATTGGAGTTGTGCAACATCAATTTCCTCAACACTTGCTTTCTCGACCCTTTCATTTTCTTCAATAGAAAAATGTAGAATTTTGTTTAAATTATTTTTCCATTAACTTTCATTTCAGCATTCAACAAAGTTATAATACAATAGTATTAAACCATACAATTACTCCAACTCAGTAAAATGCCACTACTTTTTCATCAAGTCAGTCCCCCCACCCCCCACCTCCCCCAAGGAAAAAAAAAACGGAAAAGAAAAAAGAAAAAAGAAAAAAGAGGGCAAATATGCATTTCCAATATTGAAAAGCATAAATCATCATAAATGATAAACCTTCAATATAGAACAAAAACTATCAAGATCGAATTAGCTCATCTTTTATTCATATATTGAAGATATTAATATGTAAAACTTAAAATCATTTACTTCAATAAGTATATGATTTTATTATTTTCTTCAACAAAGTTTCGTAAAATAAGAATATTGAGACCTGGCTGGTTAGGATTTAGGAGTGCCAATTTTTGGCTTGAAATAGTTGGGATTTCGGAGAATTGACCGGTAAGTGTTTGATTTAGGAATTACCAAATTAAGACTATGTTTCATAATCTCAATAAAAAATATTCATTCTTTAAAGTGCTTATTTTCTTCATTGAGAAACGCTTCGAATTTGACAAACTCATGTGAACATTTTAAGAGTTTAAATAATTTTCTTGGCACAAATGGAACTCTTAAATAAATTTCTCCCAATTCAAGAACATTCTACAAGACTTTTAACTCATAAATTGTCTATTAAATTATCTTTTCACCAACATCTCCTTTACTAGTGGGGGCACTACCCAATCACACTACTTGGACAACCAAGTCAAGCAAGAGTATTTTAAAATTGTACAGTGATTATGGATTGGGTGCATATGACTCAAGGATGTTTGGTATTTAAAGAATACTTCGCGTTTACACGATAAATAGATTACTTAAATAGGGTGAGGGTGTCAAAAGAGAAAAATGCTTGTTGCACTCACAATTTAAACATAATCTTTTACAGATTGATAAATATTAAAAAGAAAGTTGGGGAGATTTTCTTTTTATTTGATTGACAATATTTTGATAAAATCAAATCTTGCCACATCATCTATTAATAAATAAATTGATAAGTGATGATATACATGCAGCACAATTAGTCAAAGACGATCCTACATGAATTGACCTTTGTGTACTATTGGAATATGGAAACGGAATTAATTAGAAATCAAAAATTTCTTTAATCTAATAAACAGAATCATCTAAATGTTCATGTGTATGTTATAACAAAATTAAAGGATTTGAATCTTTTATCTAAGTACGATGATCAACATTTGAATTAATTCTAATCCGCGAACTTCTGGCCCCTTTAATTGCAATAATCTTGGCGTTTCAAACCTTCAAGCCTTTTACGGTATTCTCCAACGCAAAGATTACACAGGCATGTAAACACCTTCTTCTAACTAATATAGAAACTAATTCTTGAATTTAAACAATTGGAAAGCAAAAAAAAAAAAAAAAAAATCTCCCCCCCCCTCCCCCCCTCTAAATTTGAATTCTATGGAATTATGAATTATGAGTGTTGTAGTATTTTTCAATCCATCTAGTCTCCATTTATAGAGAAAAAGATGATACAATTTAAGTACAATTATATTCTACATTTAAATAAGAATTCTCATTAAAATCCAAGTAGGAGTTTTAATTAAAGTCCAATTTCAATTAATTTATATTTAATTTCATGTGTAGTCCTAGAATTTTAATTACAATTACAATTAAGTTTACAACTTTCATAGTAGTTACAACCAAATACAAAACTTTATTGTAATTACAATTAAGCCTAAAACTATTATAATTGTTGTAATTAAGTTTCAATATTTTATGGAGTTACCATAAGGACCTGATCAGACATATATTATCCAATCTCCTTTCCTCTAACCAGTCGTATATTTATTTTATCCCCATCCGAGATCCGATAATTAAGTACGAGCATAAATGATCATTTTGCCCCTCTAATTATTCTTACTAGCTTAGGTTTCATTTTCTTCAACAGTTCTATGAACAAATCACAGATGTCGAAATTTAGCCGTTGCTAAACATTAAACTCAGATTTTAACCGTCCAACAGAAAATACTTAAGTAGTCAATCTACCAATTTTTCATGGTAATGGTTCCCGGCATGAATTAATATTCTCTGCTCCGCTCATTCTCAAGTTCCCAATTCATCGAGATATTTGATTAATCAAATTGATCTCACCCATTGATGAATTAAAGAACAATTAAAATTGCGAAAATATATACATAATCCTATCAAGAGATTCAGATGAAATACACAGCGGTCAAGTGGAATTTAATTTTTCGCACAGTCATGCTATAGAATTAAATTTGACAAGCGGTCCGTTCAACACATTCCAAGTGTACTAGTGTCACATTTAACTATTTTTGTGATAAGGACAAATCACAAACCCGAATAGTAAATTGGTCAACACTACAATCTTACAATATAAGGTGCAAACCCTTATACATAGATTGTAAATAAATTATTTATGATCAAAATATAAGTTGTGACATATTGTATTTCTCAACGCAAGTACCCAACTCATATTATCATAAGTGATCACAGATATTTTAAACATAATTTTATTCATTATAAAAATATTGTTGTTTTTTTTTTTTTTACATCAGCAAAAATATATTATGTGGGCACACAATCTAACATGTACTACTAGATCTTGTTCTCTATACCAAGTCGACTTGCTTCTGCTTTACATTGTTGTAACCACCGTCACCCTCCAAATAAAGGTCACGTTTGAATATATTATATTTATGGATTTTACACCTATTGACATGGGTGATTAATATCGATATGGCATTCAATTCTTGACGCACCAAGTCTAGAAATGAAAGTTTAGATTAATATCGATATGGCATTCAATTCTTGACGCACCAAGTCTAGAAATGAAAGTTTAGTACCCAAAAGTAAATGAGAACATAACAAAATTCAAAAGAAAACGTTTTTTGCCCGATAAATGAGCGATTCTCTCTCACCACACACGAAGACCATGGTGTAATCGTGCGCACCCGCGCTTATCTAGTCAACATTCACAATTTCCCATTTGCCTCCTTTGAAGCTTTCAACCCTTATACCAGAATTAAAGATATACATTATATATGTGTAGAGAGAGAAAGAGGGGGAGAGGCGAGAAGAGCACGCATCATGGGACAATGACAACATTGCCGAATGACCCAAAACAAATCTTGTCTTGGTACATAAGATAAAGAAAAAATAAAAGCCTTTTCTTCTTAGCATCTTTATAATCAATTTTGCCTATCTAAAGGGCCATTTAATCGAAGCTCAATCATTTATCCGCGATATAAACGCATAAACGAATAATTTCTTGGAAACCCATCTCTAGTTTTGATTAAGAATTTGGGGAAATTGAGGAAAAATGATGACAATGGAAGGGATGATGGATAGAGGGGTGTTGGATGATATAATAGGGAGGCTTTTGGAAGGCAAAGGGGGAAAACAAGTGCAGCTTTCGGAGGCGGAGATCCGGCAGCTTTGCGTCAACGCCCGCCAAATTTTCCTCTCTCAACCTATTCTTCTTCAAGTCCGAGCCCCTGTCAGGATCTGCGGTTTGTCTTGTTCTTAATTTCTCAAATTTATTTCTAAAAATTTCTGTTTCTGTTTGTGTGTTTAATTTTTGTATATAAGATTTTGTTTTGGGTTTCAAATCAGGATGTTTTGTTGGGGGGTTCTATGCTCAACTATGTTTTGGGAATCATGTAATCTGGGAGTATATTTGGTATTGAGAATTTTGGTGTAGGATATGGGAATATCAAATGAAATTGGAGGTTGAAAGGATTGATTAAATGCATTGATATTTTTCTTTTGTGCTCGGTGTGGAAGGGGCCATGGGCGAAATGATTTTAGGGTAGAAATTTTGTGTTAGTCTTATCTTGATTCATGAATTGCGATGAAATATTGTTGAATTGATATGAGGATTGAGACATTGCATCTCGAATCTTGATTGCGTTGGATGATATCATTCGGAGGATAAATTATTTTTCAAAAAGAAGTCATTTATTCAAATTTCCATAGTGAAATATAATAAATTGTTATTTATTTCGATCATTCTTCATTTCGATACTTAGACAATTAAATAAAAATAGAAGGGGCAGTGCTATGAATTGACACTGTTGTTCCAACTTTCAAGTTACTTAGCTCCGGTTCCACATGTTTGTAAAAGTGCCTTATTGTTCAAAAGGTTATGTTTTACAAACACTAATCTCTTTCCACTCTAATGCATACATTGTTTGAGGGTGAGTTACTGCAACCAATATTTCGATAACAAATCATTAATTTATTGGATACGTAAACAGTGCTACGATTGCAGTACGCAACATCATCTGGATCGGTCATTCATGAATGTGGTTTTTCCTTAAGAAAGCAAACTAATTCCTTTGATATGATATGATGAAATTTATCATCTGATTTCAGTTTTCCTTCTTTTCTTTGGGAAAATCACTTCATACTTTTCAGTTTATTGATGCAAATGATCGCATGAGATAAAGATTGCTTTTTTATCTTGAAGGTCAAAATATCGCGCTAATAAAGATGCTTCGGTCTGTTTTCTTTTAGTTTCTTGTGCTTTCAGCTAAACACAATTTGATTCTTACAAGTTTTTTCATCCTGGAGAATATAATGAATGCCTAGTTTACAATTAGAACTTGTGCAGTTTAGCCACTAAATCTTTCTAGTTTTTTTAATATTTCATGGCTCTAATTAGGGGGAAAAATATCTATCTTGCAGGTGACATACATGGACAATATCAAGACTTATTGAGGCTTTTTGAATACGGTGGGTACCCTCCATCTGCAAACTACCTCTTTCTAGGAGATTATGTTGATAGAGGCAAGCAGAGTTTGGAAACAATATGTTTGCTATTGGCCTACAAGATAAGGTATCCGGAACAAATTTTCCTTTTGAGGGGAAACCATGAAGATGCAAAAATAAATCGTATTTATGGATTTTATGATGAATGTAAAAGGAGATTCAATGTCCGATTGTGGAAGATATTCTCCGACTGCTTTAATTGTTTGCCTGTTGCTGCACTAATAGATGACAAGATACTTTGCATGCATGGAGGACTTTCCCCTGAACTAAAACAATTGGAACAGATTAAAGAGATTGAACGGCCCATTGATATTCCAGATAATGGACTCCTATGTGATTTGCTCTGGTCTGATCCTGATCCGAATATACAGGGTTGGTCTGAAAGCGATAGAGGAGTTTCATGTACTTTCGGACCAGATGCAGTTGCTCAATTTTTAGAGAAAAATGACTTGGATCTCATCTGCCGAGGTCATCAGGTATGTAATTTATATCGATAGCATATATATTGCTCTTTTCTGTTCTTTCTTTCTTCAATTGATTTAAAGGACACGTTTGCTTATCTAGTATTGCTGCAAATAAAAGGAAGATAAAGAAATGGAAAGAAAAAGCTTGTGCATGCTTTGTAATAATTCACAGCCTTCTGTTAAGCCTCAAAGGAATAAATGGCTAGAAAATCATATTATCATCATGTTACATTTTGTAGGTCAACTGTTTATTGTTTTATCCCGATAAAGTGTATCCTTAAAGTTCCAATTTATTGGCGCAGAAGTTCAAATAGTAAATTACATAATTACAATACTCAAAATGAATAGGAACCTGACACATATATAATTTTTGCAAAACTTTCATTGTTCACCATCCCTATTAATCTTAATTCAACGTAAAAGCTGTTGTGAAATCATTTACTAACAAAAGATGTACACTTTGTTCATTTTTGTTGCTCAGGTAGTGGAGGATGGATATGAATTCTTTGCTAAGCGACGACTTGTAACAATATTTTCAGCGCCGAACTATGGTGGGGAGTTTGATAATGCAGGTGCTCTTTTGAGTGTTGATGAATCACTAGTGTGTTCTTTTGAGATATTAAAGCCTGCTGCAAACACTTCAAAGTTGCCCCTAAAAAAGGTATATCAACATTTACCATTATCAATATTTTCTTTTTAACATTCATCTTCCACCTATTTCTTCTCTGAAAAAGTTCATTTATGTGATTAAATCGGATTAGCCTTATTGATAATTTGATAATCTGTTTTTCCAAAACAGCCCCCTAAAATTGGAGGGAAATGATATGAAAATCGAAGCAATGGAAAGCATGGAAAGTGTACATGAACATTTGTCAGCTGTGAGTAGGAAGAATGGAAAACATGTTTCTTGTTTTTCTCCGTTCATAGTTTCGAGGTTTATATCGAAAGTTGTCTTAGCAAATTTCTGTGCTTTGAAGCGTGAAGAATGTGGCCTTGGATTGCCAAGAAAAAGATCTGTAAATTGGAGATGAACTAAGATTGCTTCACTTTTTTAACTTATACGACCTCTATGTCAAAAATTTATACACCCTTTGTTTAATGTATTTTGTTAGGTAGAATTTAACATTTACAATTTATAATGTGATCTTTAATTCCATTTTTGTACATCATTTTCAATTACAACACAGTTTTTATTTGGTTATGGAATCGCTATTGCAGCAAGTTTGTGGTGTTCAAGTCTATCGATGTGATCTAAAAATTTTTTCAAAAACTCCCTTTTTTTTTTTTTTTTTTTTTTTTTTTTTTTTTCACTTTGATAATTGAATTTTTCTTATTACATGAATGGTCACCGAATTTGTATTTTTATTACACTCAAGTGATCAAGTCAATTTCTTTCTATTACTCTATCATTGATATGTCTGATGGACTTTGTTGGATGGACAGGGCACCGTAACCACGAAAGTTGGTTCGGTTTGTATCTCGGTTCGATTCGGTTCGGATCGTTAATAATCATGAAAATAAATTATTTTTAATTGGTCCATCCGTCGAATAATAAGAAAAATGTATGAAAAAAGTCTATGAAAACAAAAACATGATACTAAATCAATGTAACAAACAACATCTCAAATGAAAATGTAACAAATATCCCAATTCTCAAATACAAAATTCAAATTTAACAAACAATATTCAATAACTCAAAAAGCTCCAACCTTAATTCATATTCAATCTTCATTCTTCCCCACAACTCTTACTAGCATACATCAAAACTCAAAATTGATTCTCATTTAGTATATAAGAAATGTAAGTAGAGTAATAAATTAATAATCCACAATGTTCTTAACTGACGATTTAAACAAATAAAAATGTACATCTTCGTCACCAAATTTTGGTTTCAGTTATTAAAGAATTCAATTTATTGTTTATGTGTTGTTTAGACCAAAAGTCATCAAAGGGGAGAGAAATTAAAATCATTTATCTCCAAAGTGGCCACCAATTATAAAAAATTGAAAATTCTGAATATACTTTGATCAAATCTTGTGCGAAATTTACAACAAATTCAAATAGACAAATACAAATTATCAAAAAAGAAGATGAGAAGCTCACCAGTGACAGAAGCCTGAAGATCAAAGGAGAAGAAAATAATGCAAACGGGCGGAGGCGAAAAAGACAAAAGTCGGCACTCGGCAGACCCAGAAGGCAAGAGTTGAGATTCCAATTTTCCAATAAAATGTTTGTGCCTTTGTGTTACACTGTTAGGGTTCAGGGTTGGGTACTTGCGTTTAAATTTAATTTGTTAATGGGCCAAAAATTTTGGGCCAAAGAAATTAAGTAGTTAACATAGAAAAAATCAAAAAATTATGGAAAGTCCAATTATTAATAATTTATTATTTTTTCTAACGATTAATTGATTCGGTTCGAGGCGATGGCGTAAATACCATACCCGCCCTGTCCCGAACCGGTTCATTAAAATCAAATACCATATTCGTCCCATTGCACCATCGATTTGATTTTTTTCGCCCTATTCGATTCGATTAACCGCTATTTTCGATTTTGACGATTCAAATTGCCATCCCTATAGCTAACAATAGTAACGTGAATGGATACAACAGAAGTGACTTAAATGAAACAAAACTACAAGTTTGTAACTATATTTGTACCTAAAAAGTTTGGTAACTAAGCCCCTGCTTGAGCCACATTATTGTAAAAATGAGAATGAAAAATATAGTCGTTGTGGGTCTCATAAAACAGATAAAAAGTCAAATATGATGATTTAATGTGATGAATAACGATCATATTTTTTATTTTAATGAGGAAATAATGTGGTTCAAACAAAACTTAAAAGTGAAACAAAGTGATTAGACGTGTACTACAATTTCCCCATTTCGTAATCATCGCAAATGAGTCTTGTCTTTGAATACAAATTTCTTGAATTTGAATCCATAAAGCAAGAAACCATCATGAATTCCTTTGACAACCCAGCAAGGCATGTTAATTTTCTTCACTATTTGTTCATTTTTTTCTGGTAGTGATAAAAGGTCCATAATCGCATAAAGTATTAATCTTGATACCAACATCATTTCAAACAAAAACATGCAACTTTGTAAGTGTGTTTGACAGGCTTATATAGGATCCTAAATTAGCTTATAAGTTTTTTAATTTAATGAACTTCTATCCACTTTATGTTCATTTGACTTGTGGGAGAAATCACCGTGTAAGGATGATTTAAGCGAAATTAAGTGATTTTGAGCGTTAAAGGACCAAAAAATGAAACATTTGAGTACCTGGACTTGGACATGACAAAAGGTGGCTAAAGACTTGAAGAGAAAATCCATACGAACAAGGTGTTCAGAAATAATAAAGATCAGTAGTGATGGATCAAACACCGGAAGGTCGAAAAAGCAAAACGAGGGAGCTATATATGGAGTATGTGACATTAAGCCTCTCAAACCTACTAATTGATGTAACTGAGATGTACTTCCTCTAGCTCCCGAAAAAGACATTATAGTCTTCTTCTGTATGAAGATATAATGCATCGAAGCAAATAATGAAGAATAATAAGACTAAATTACTTGGAATGCTTGTGCAGGTAAGAAATACCGTACACACACACACACACCCCATTTAAAAAATGATTGAATTTGAAGTTCATCGCAAAAATAAATAATAATTGCAATTTAGAATGGTGGATCAAAGGAACCATGGCATATATGTTTGGAATAGATTTCATTTTTATGTGCGTTCAGAATTTAACTGTCTAAGCAAAATTACCAGCGCCTATGCGCTAGATGGTTGAGCCCGGGGAGGATCCTGCAGGTCCTATTCAGTAGTTGAACTAAACCCTCCACACTTACTTGTCGCAACTTGTGCCCATTTTCCTTGTGCATTTTAACTTATTTTTTAGGAGTTTGGAGCATTTCAAGTATGTTTTTGAGACTTTTTGGGGACTAACAAAAATTAGAAAACTCGTATGGTATATTGAAGACCTAACATCCCAGAGGTGAAGATACAAATCCTAAGACAATACAAAGCAAGAAATCATTCATATTCCAGGCAAATTGAAGAAGAAAATGGTGCAATTTAAGATCATTGCAGAAATTCAAGATTGAAGAATTGTGCTTGTATATTTCATACATTCTACTGGGTTATGTATTCATCTAAAACATTGTGTTCTTGGTTTTTAATTATGTCCGACTAAGCCTTTTGTGGTTAGTACTAAAAATAAAATATTGTGCTTGAATTAATTTAACGTTGATCGTTGTTAAGTAATTCTAGTTTTTGGGTTGATTGTCTATTATTCCCTTATTAAATTTTGGTTCATGGTTGCCATTAGAACATGATTTTTTTTTTTTAATATTGCTTTCGAGAGTCGGCATAAATTAGCACACGATAATCTTATAAAAGATAGGAATATCATTATGCTATATGAAATGATGATTTTTGTGATTTAATTCATGCGTATGTTTTCGCAATTTAATTAGAGATAATTAAGTTCATACGACAAGATACTTTGCAAAGCTGTGTTCGGGGGAATTATTGTCTATTGTCGGCCACTATGGTTGAATTAGTCGAGGGGACCTATGAAACGAATATGGGTTATGCAATTGCGATTCCTTCTCAATATAAATTTTATATGAATTGGTCCGGCCAATTAAAGAAAAGGTAAGCTCCTGAATGGGTTATGCCCAAAACTTGTTTTGGAAAATGTGAACCAAGAAGCAGAACTGGACGTTGTCATGATATCTTTCGTAAGAAGGGAATATTATGCGACACAAACTCATTAAGTAAGAAGAGGATATGAACGACATTTTCCAAAACAAAAACAATGGATCAAATCAAAGAGATCAAACAACTCAATAACACTAAAGATAATGGTCTTTTGCATCATTTGTTCTAGTATGATCCTGGTCGGAGGGTATGAGGTTGGTCTATTAGTAAAAGAGGTGTTTTGTGTAATTTTGAACCCAATGAAATTGCTAAAAATTTGGAAAAAAAATTAAGTTGTCGGGCCATCAAATATGTATAAAAACACTAATAGACATGTTTTGTGTGATTTTGAACCCAATGAGATTGCAAAAAATTTGGAGGAAATTAAGTTGAATCTCATATGTTGGACCATCAAATATAAAATTAGTTTATATATACCCACACTAATAGACGTGTTTTGTGTAATTTTGAACCCAATGAGATTGCAAAAAATTTGGAGAAAATTAAGTTGAATCTCATTTGTTGGGCCATCAAATATATAAGTGGTTTATATATATCATTTAAACGTACTCAAACCCATACTGCAAGTGCTAGAAGATAGATATGAATTTTTTTATTAAGAGAGGACTTGTAACAACATTTTCAACTCCCAACTATTGTGGAAGGTATGATGATGGAGGTTCATTTTGAGTGTTGATGAATAGTTGGTGTTCTTTTAATATGATGCAATAATTTATCAACTAACAAAGGTCTATCAACATTTCCTTTATTGTCCATATATTTTATTAACTTTCGACAACCACCTTTTTATTTGTGTGCATAAACACGTTTCTTGTCTATCATGTTCTCTTGTACAAGTTTTAATGGCTGGACTTGAATCTTGAAAGTATATAGGGTTAACATCTTACTCATAGTCTCTTGTTTCAATTTGATGACCATTCAATATTGAATGGATTTGGTGTAGAGAATCGAAAAATCATTTCCAAGTGGTTTTGATGGCCCCTTGTATTAATTCCTACTACAACACGGAGTTTCCATTTGCTAATTTATTATTAGGTGCAACAAGTTTGAGATGTTGAACTCAAGTGTAAAGGAGAAGGGAATGAAGAAAACTAGGAAAGTGTCATTTCCAACTATAGGTACATGTTCATTGAAATGGAAAATGTGACTTACAGAAAAAGAAACGACTCTTGTATTAAATTTTCAATACCCTTATGAGTCTAATCTATTTACTTTGTTGCTCCTAGCTCCAACTTATTTCTTGTTTGATTAGCATTCAAATGAAGGATCCTCAACTTGTATACTTTCACCCCTAAACAGTGGGGATTAAAATCATGAGTGATAATTGGTATACAGCTCTAAAAGTTATACATCTCTTACAGTCCCCTTACAATGAGGGAACCCACAATTATTTTATTCATTTGGTCCTCTCAACATGCGAGGGGGCTTTAAACCATGGTTTACAAACATTTTTGCCCTAAAATCATATGCAATGGTTAGCATTCGTTGACTAGAATTTTCTACACTGACATTTACCTAGATTCTTCCCACAATGCTATCTTCTACAAACTTCCAATTGCCCTTCGATATTTCTACCAATCAATCTAGCTCTTTAGCCCTCGTTTGAGCTACATTATTTTCATGAGAATGTATTGATGAGAAATATCTGGTTAAAAATAAAGAAAAGTATTAAATTTGTGAAAATATTATTTTATTGAAGAATGTGCTATTGAAATGATGTTAAATCAATGTTTAAAAATGAATTTTTTTTTTCCGAAGAATATGGCTTAAATAGGGCGTTATTCAGGAATAGATTCTATATGTTTCGAACAGTTATTTACATTGAACATTCTAGATTAAGATTCATCCACGTTTCCGCAATTCTCCTAGAATGCTCTTTCGAATTCTTTCAGTGGAACATTCTAGTATATTGCTGTTACTCATTGATCCATGCTTCTTTTCATTATATTTTAGAACCTTCAATTTACTCATTCAAACAATATTTTCCAAGATTCACCGAAGTACAGAATGTTCTGCGCTTGCACCACCCACCAGCAACCTTGGCTGTACATGAACCACAACTCACATCCCTAATCCATGGTTAGATCTTCATCGCCCTTCGTGTTTCATTATCAAGTTAATTGATTAATAGATTTCTATTATTGTACATTTTTATAGAAGACAATATCTGACCACAAATATCGTAAAATAAAAACTTTGGGATATCACACTTTTCCATCTAATCGTTCATACCGATCATCTTCATATTGCTCGCAGGTCGATTTCCTCAGCATTGCCGTAATTCAGAAGAATTGTACTTTCGTAGTGACAAATTACCCCACCTGTCCCGTTGAAACCGGAATGTTTTAGCATGACTATCACACAGTGCGGATCTAGATTCATGATAAGATCAAAAGAAAAAACAGAAACTGAACTTATAAAGCACTGGGGAAACCCTTTTACAAGTGAACTCCTTACAACTCAAACAGCCTCACGCTAATGCACTCGAAATAACACTGTAGTGTATGGAGAACACACATTTACATCTAATTACACTAACAGCACTCTTGCTCCCCAACACCTTTCCACCACATTCTTGAACAGAAACAAAACAGCATTGTTCCAACGACATATATAGCAGCCTCAAGGGAAAGAAGGATAAAAGCTCACATGTCGTGAGGAGGAGGAGGGCCCCTGGGTCCAACTCCACTAGCCTTCTCGTAAGCAAACGATGCAGACCTCCTACGAAAACGAAACGCCTCTCTTCCTCCTGAACCTAAGCATCATTTGAAAGAAAAAAATTCGGCTCAAAAGGCATGATCAATACGTTGTATTCAATTTATCATAACTAAATAAGACAACAAAATGATAATTTGTCAATCCTCTTATAGTCTGACATACCTAACCAACATATTAGCGTATTGCGGTTAAGTCAGTTATATACATAACTAACCAACATATCAATTTCCATAATGCTATCTGTGATTAGAGAACAGTACTTTCTTCCTAACTACTAGATCCACAAATAACGCAGATAGCATTCGTAGAAAGTTAAATTTCATCTAGAAACAGTAGCTTGCGTGATGATGTAGCTTATATTTGGTTTGGACTTGTAATTAAATTTAAGATATGAAAAGTAAAATTATAAATTTATGGCAATATAACATAATCTCTTTAATCTTAATCAAATATGAGGATCAAACACGATAAGGGCAAATAAAAAAGTTGCATCAAGTAACCCTATGGTAACATGTTTGGATTCTCTTCCTTTAGCAGGCAAAATCCTTAGTCGACTACGTGTTTCTTTAAGCAATGCCACGCACGAAAACAAAAGGCAGACAAATGCATAATTGAAATTTAAAAATTGCACCATAATGGATTCTACAGATATTATTCCACAAAATGTCACTCTAAGACAAAATTAGAAAAAAATAATAGTACTAATAATTGGCCCATCTTACCTAACATATCTCTATTATTGACTATCATTATTGTAGAAAGAAGTGACAATTTTGTACTAAAATACCCTTATCATTATTCTATCCTCGAAAAAAAAAAAAAAAAAAGAGAATGTCCATATTACCCTCGTCACATTTCCCAAGATTCTTCTAGACTCCACTATTCCCCTTTCTTTTGGGAGGGCAGTTTATGCCATTTGGCAAAAAGATACTGGAAGGACTGACGCCCTAATTAGAATAAAATATACAATTATAAAACATTCGTGCAGCTAACCCTAGGCTTACCGGCGAAAGGAGATACCGGAGGTGTGGAGCCAGCCGGCGAAACCGGAGGTGTGGATCCGGCCGGAGAAACCGGCGGCGAGTCTTTCTGAACACCTTGAGGCTTCACTATCATAATGCTTCTCGTAACCCTCACTGCATCCTCACCCGCTTCATCTCCAAAAGATCTTGGATTCGCAGCTTCCAAATCTGCTCGAGAAACACACAAATTTTAATCAAAATTTCCGCAAGCAAAACGAAACTCAAATAGCAATCAAATCCATGACGAATCACAAATTCATATTAATATTATATCGTCAATTATAAGCTCTTATTTCTATTTCTCGAATCTGGCAAACAGTAACAATTGAATTAAAAAATTTCCAGTTAAATGATGGGAAAACCATTAATACTCGGAGAGAATCCATATGATAACCAACTAGATTAAAAGCTTATGCAATGATTAACTAAACAATAATCAAATTCATCTTAAATAAATATGATTACTGAACAATAGTACGAACAGAAGGATTTAACGAGTTCTTTACGGTACGATGTTACGATCAAAGATTTACTACAGGCAAAAGATAGCAACAATGACGTACCCTTGCCGGAGTTAGGCCGGAAGCTAAAGGTGGCGTGTTTTCTGAGTTTCCCTAGGCCGCTGTCTGGCCGAGGGCCGGCAACGGTGTCATCCCAGAGCTGGTCAAGTAGCCCCATGAGCGCAATTTAGCAAACACAGCGATTGCAGAACCTTAGCCGACAGGATCTACCAGAGAAGTAATTCCTCTAGTGAGCACTGAGCAGCGATATTTATGGACGAAACGAGCGTTAAAGCCGAACAGTTTAATCCGATTAAGATGAAATATTAACCGTCAGATTAGATCTGAGGGATCTGGGATGACGTGGACGGTCGATCGTTAGGGGCGTTAAAAGTAGATAAGATCGACGTGACAAGGCCAGAGTTACGGTGCCACGTGGATGCCGTTAATGAGACGACCGATCGTGTCACGTGATAGGTACGTTTTTAATGCACTAAAATATCATAAATGCCCCTCTTATCATTACGGGCTTGGAATCTTGAACATCATACATTGCCGGTGATAAGCCTTCTGTTCTCGCTATAAGGATATATTTGGTATTTTATCATAGTTTTGGAGTGTTAATAATATCTGATATTATGCCCTATTTGCCATTCTTTAATAATTTAAATTGTTTGTTACAGTAATATTCTTCAGTACACATTCACAAAATAAAATATTTTATACACAAATTAATAAAAAAATTATTTTTTAAACACACATTCTCCAAAATTCAATAACTCATTATTTCTAAATAAATTCTGTCACACGTGCTCTATATATTTTTTGAAAAACGATAATTATATTCTTGCACCACTTCTTAATGAGTAATACTATGTAATCTTATTGGAGGTTACAACTTCAATTTAAGACACTGGATAATAGATTAAAGGCCTGTTTGATAGACACCATGGAAAATAGAATTTAAATTTCATTTTCCACCCAAATGGTATGTTTGATGGACAAAATTTTCCATTAAATTGGTTTTCTACCCAACCTTAATAATATCTGATATTATACCCTATTTTCCATTCTTTAAAAATATAAATTGTTTGTTACAGTAATATTCTTAACCACACATTTACACAATAAAATATTCTACACACAAATAAAAAAAATCTTATTTTTTAACAACACATTTTCCAAAATTCAATAACTCATTATTTTCAAATAAATTTCGTCAAACATGCTCTATATATTTTTTGAAAGAAGATAATTATATTCTAGCATCACTTCTTAATGAATAATACTATTCTTAATGAATAATACTTTGTAATCTTATTGGGGTTGCAACTTCAATTTTAGTGGCACCGAATAATAGATTAAGGGTCTGTGATAGGCATCATGGAAAATGGAATTTAAATTTTACTTTTCACCCAAATGATATGTTTGATAGACAAAATTTTTCATTAAATTGGTTTTCTACGAAACCCCTCCCACCCCCGCCACGCGACCCCCTTTTCCAAGTATTTAAAGAATTGATTTTCCTTTGATTTTGGTGGAAATTGGTTTTCCACCTTTTTTTTTGGCAATGAAGGTAAATTATATCCCTTTAATTGACAATTTTTATAAAAACAAAGTCAAACGAATACCAAAATATCCAAATTTCAACATTTTCCAAATGAAAAATTATATCAATCAAACAAATTTAATTAACAATTCTCAATAAAACAAGTTTTAGGCAATACAATTTCATGAAATTCCTTTTCTTTCCACTCAAATTTCATTCTTGTAATCAAATGAACTTTAAATGAAATGTGAAATTAAATTAGTTATTTAATTCTCCATATCAATTGATGTCATATCAGCGTTACCTAGATTAATATTGCAATCCCAGTGTGGCTAAATACCATTACTCCTTCTTAATAATAAATACTTCATCTTTCTTGTTTATATATGTTGATTTTCTTCATTTTCTTGTCCCGATTATATAGTCATATATTATTTGATGAAGATGTTTTATTTTGTTAATTTACTAATATACATTTATTTAATTTGCTTATTTATAATCAATTTTCTCACTTGATCTTGAAATTGTACAAATGTAAAGATACATATATACTTCTTGAAAATTAAATTATTCAATTTCTTTATTATTTCCCACAATTATTTACTAATAGTTGTTGATAATTAGATAAAGGTAAATTAAGAAAGTGTTTAACAAAACTTACCTTTTCAATAACATTAAATAAGATTTCCTAATTCGTATGAAAAATAAAATCAGTCTATATAAATGGAACGGAGGGAGTGCAGATTAAGATCATGTCTGTCTATAATTAATTGAAAAATGAGTTTTGAAATTGTGAACTTTCGAAAAATGTATAGTTAAAACTAGAGAGAAAATTGAGTTTACGTACAAGATATTTTATTTTAAGAATATGTGGTTGAGAATGAATTTGTGAAAAAAATGAGTTTTAAAATAATGGTAGAATAAAGAGTCTTGTTTGGATCCGAGCAGGCCACCAAATCCAATGTTCAATTTTTTGTTAGATTTTTAAAAGAAATAATTGTTACGTGTTGACACACTTGGCTGACCCACTGGGGCTCGTGGCCCACTCATGCCAGACCACGTGACATCCTAGCCGAGGCTCCCAGACCAACAGAAGTCAACCAGCATACCAAAACAACACCCATGACATGGGCGAAATGATGGCGCCGAAGTGAATAGGCCGAGGTGATTTGTCTTTGCTGAGGCCCTTCACATCGAGGCCCAGATGCCCTAAATAGCACTCCTCTCTAGAGATCCGATTTTACACAGATTTTTCCTGATTGATTGATGGAACACCCATCATAGAGTGCAAGTATTTGTCTTGTTAAAGTTGCGGCGGAGTTGCTGATTAATAAATGTGTAGCAGGTTAGGAAGTCAAGTGTGATATTTACAATTTGATATGTAAACTTACGAGATGAGCCCATGTGTACTCCCAACCAAGGGCCACGATCTAACTTGTAATATTATAAATACTCCCCAATGCATCTCTCACGAGGACAATGCAATATTCAATACAAGAACCAAGATTACATATCCTTTACTATCTTTGTATACTTTATAACCTGTTTACCATCTTGCAGTGCAATACTATAAGAATTCATACGCGCATTCTACAAATATCGATTGATAATTATTGTACAATCGTTATGTAAACATCTCGTCGAATTCCGAACGTTCTCGTCTCGCGCTGTTGAGTCGCTCCCACACCCTTGATCTGTCTCTTTGAGACCGTCCACGTGCCTTAACGTGTTGGACTAGACTTATGTGTGCGTGGGTGGGTTCAGTATCTATTGACAACATTTTTTGTGGTCAACAATAATAAAACGGAAAAAAAAAATAAAAATTAGAGAGATACAAGTAAACCAATTTGCATGGGATCATAATTCTAAGAAATGGTCAGCTACAACCCGTTTCCGGTCATTCTACAATTCTACCTATTTATTAGACAAGAGAATAATACATAATTCTTACATATAAAAATTATATTTTAAAACTAGTATACTTGTTAAATTATTTCAAAATTCAGGTGTTCCAATTCATAATATATACATAATATATAATTAATTGTAATTAATTATCCTCATCCAATTAATAGTTCCACTCCTCCCATCCCACAAATTAATAATATATTAATTAGGGTGCGTTTGATTATAAGTAGGAAAATTACATGGAAAGAAAATGAATTCCAGGGAATTGAATTACCTAGAAATTGTTTTCATGGAAATTGTAAATTATTGTGTTTGATTGTATAAATTTTTCACATGGAAAATGTTGAAGTAAAGTATTTTTTGATGTTCGTTTGACTTTGTTTTACGTGGAAATTGTCAATTTCAGGGATATCCTCTTTTACAATTATTTCTAAAATTTGTTCCCATTGCTAACAATTAAAAAAAATAAAAAAAGCAAAAAATAAAAAAAAGGTGGAAAACCAAAAACCACCTATCCCCTAGGAAAAAAAAAAGGTGGAAAATCACGCTTTAAGGTGTTGTACCTAGAAATTCATGGAAAATCAATTCCCTGGAAAATTTTGTCAATCAAACAGGCCAAAAGTAGAAGTTGGAATTCGAATTCCAAGTTCCATGGAAAATTTCGTACAATCAAACGGGGCCTTAGTAATATCCCACCCCCTCTCATGTAAATTTTTTTCAAAAATTTTTTATTTTTATTTTTATTTTTTTTAAGATTACACCCCATCCACCCCAAATTGTAAAAAAATTTCAAAAATTAAAATTTTTTTATGGAGATTACATCCCACCCTATTTTTAAAAAAAAATTCAAAAAATTTAAAACGTTTTTAGGAGATTACAGCCCCATGGAATTATCCTAGATTTGTAGTCGTGTTATTCGTGATCAAATTTTTTTCTGTGATCAGACCAGTATTATACTAACTGTAACCAAATTTGTCTTTGGTGTTACTATTTGTGATTGTCTAATTTCTGGTTGTATGTAATCAAGTCACTAATTTGTGTTATTTGTGATTAATTGTGATCAAATTTGTCTTTAGTGTGATTGCAAGTGACGTTTAATTTATAACTGTATATAACCAAAGTCACTAACATGTGTTATTTGTGATTAAATATGATTAAATTTATCTTCAACGTGACTAAATGTGACCAAATTTGTCTTTAGTGTGTTTAACTATGATCAGATCAATTTTAATCGTGGCGATATGTGATCAAGTCCCAATCAATCACAGTCAATAAAGAATTGGTCACAACGAATCACAATAAACATATACTTAATCACAGAGAACCACAAACAAATATGCACATACCACAGACCAGTATCACAATCCATCACTGTCACCTCTAATGCACGACCACTACCATAGACATTAATTTGTAAACAAATATAGATAAAAGTTTCAGTATCAATTCGATCTCAAATCTCAATTCATGCACTACTAAGCAAGAAATGCACCTAAATGAATGTGATTAACAAGTATAAACTCTTATTTCCTGCCTTCACTAGGTACAACATCCTTTAATTCATTTAATTAAGAGGGGTTCTATTAGTTTTATAGGTAGATAACAAAATTCAAACAGTGGGGACTTCGTAAGTATCTAAAATTTACAAATTTTAGTGCCGCTCATTTTAAAATTTAATAGATAAAGTACAATTGCTCATTAATTAATTTGTCTACCTTTCTCGACCCCTATTTCAAAAACTCAATCTCATCTTAGTATTCCTAATTCTTCACATCATATTTCATCAATTCCACAGTAT